AATTTCCTTGATGGAGGAACAGTTGATAATAGGTAGGGACGGTTGATCATAGCTAGGAACAGGTAATCATAGCAAGGAAGAGGTGAGTGAATAAGTGTGAAATACGTATATGGGAGACTATACGTATGAGCGACTATATGACATTCTATAATGAAGTACATCGCTTCCAAGGAAAACAAACACTTGATCGATCGATAAAAGTCAATAAAATACACAAACTGGACGACAAACTCGATGGAGATTCAATGTTTTGGCTGGTTTCAGGTGGTTTCAAGATGGTTTCAGGTGGTTTCAGGTCGTTTTAGGTGGTTTCAGGTCGTTTCAGGCCGTTCTTTGTTTTAGTAACAGTACCCGCACGAGTTATATGTTATTGTATTAACTAAAGTAATGATATTTGTTTTGGTTAGCTAAATGTATCTATTTCTAGTCGAATATTTTTATGAAAAAGGGATTTTCATGCCGAAACCTTCAACGAGTGGGTGGACGAGGAATTTACTGCGTCATAATTTACATAAAAGAGTACTCACACGAGTTTTATATTAGTTTATTTGTAGTTCCTTTTACGGTTTCCGACGCCATATTGTTTGGGGGGCAAATTTACTAAAAGCGTAGGGAAAGAGATACGTTTTTCGTAATATTTCCATTCTGAGGTTACCCTGCGAGCAAAGTCTCCTTTACCTTCCCCCAAGTGAAAGAAAGGAAAGGGTCTTCTTTCCTTTCTCTCACTCGGGGGAAGGTAAAGAAGACTCTGCTCGCAGGGTATTCTGAGGTAAATTGTTTTGGAGACCAAAAGTTTTCTGTAGATGGAGAATCTTCTGTTCAATAATGTTTTGTGTGGTGTTTTTGAGCCGATGGAGCCACCATAACACTGATTCTCAGAGAGACGGAGGCTTGCTTTGGGGTTTGCGACCAAGACTCGTTTATGCTGCTTTAATTTGACCGTAAAAAAATATTCAAACCGAATCCACGGACTTTCTTCTGTCTTACAATGACTAAATCCCAAATAGTCTTCTTCTCTATTCAAAGTATCCAATGTGCCCAGCACATTTGACACGTTTTCCCGTGTCAAAACTTGTTATTATTATGATTGTCAATTTCAATCCAGAGAGATACTATCTCTTGCGAGACGATATTAAGATCTTCTCTAATAGTGTAATTAATTGCTTCTTTAAATTAGAATCCAACACCACCAGCAAAGGAATTACTAGGTTGAAATATAAAAGTGTAGCCAGATAAAGATATATTGGTTACTAAGGGGTAGTAGAATTAAGTTTAGTCTCAGATATTCCAAGAATGTCAAAGGAATGACGGAGGTCTGACAACAAATTAGTAAGAGAATCAATATTACCAGATAGACTACGAACATTACAATGAAAAAATGAAAAAGAGTTAGATTGAATAGCATCTAATATGTCAGGATCATGAAATTCGTGGCAATTATAATATTTAAAGTTAACACGAAATGGTAAATTAAAGTCAGGATCAACATGTGAAAGATTGGGAATATTTGTCAAGGAAGACAGAATATTAAATTGAGGTAAATCTTGTATATCAAGAATTTTACTTGAACATAAATAATTAGTATTAGAATTAAAAGACATCGATCTAAGTTCAGAAACAGAGACATTATTAAAGAGGAATATATAATCACAACAAGGATTACAAATCCAGGAGTTACCTGAATTAGAAAAATATGTATAGAACTTTAGTGATAAAGAAGTACAATCAAGGTGACAATGATGTTTACAAATTATGCATGGTAATGATTTGCAAGAAGATGTAATAGCTTTGTTACAATTTGTACATAAATTAACCATGACTGAGTATAGCAACCACTGACTTGATTCAAAATCCTGACTTGAGGATGCATAAGTTTGCCTCGGGGTATAACCATGGTTACTTATTAACATCTCTAAGTCTTTATTCGATGAGATACGTCGAACAGAGGTATCATTATTCTTCCTGAGATATATTTGACCATTAGATGTCCAAATGAACTTAAAATTGAAGTCCTTTTTCAACTTTATGGCGGCATTAAACAATTCCTTATTCTTCGGTGTGAGGGATTCACTAATGAAAATCTTATTATCAGCAATGTGACCAAGATTTAAGTCATCAGTGGTAAAGTCCTTCAGCCTTTTTCCTAGCACCATACAACTCATCTCTCACATCTCTTCTAGCAAACTTCAAAATGATCAGAGGTGGACCCCTACGTCGGTTTTTAAATGGAATTCGATGGCTAACTGATATATCTTTTGGATCAATGTTGACGTTAATGATCGAACCAAGTTGAGTTACTATCTTGTTAGTATCTTCACCAGGAACAACGGGGATACCCTTGATTTCGAGGCATTCACGTCGAGAATATTGCTCCTTATTATATGGCAAGGTAATTTCACGCGCTAT